GGTGAGAAGAGCGGACCCCACATGGCCCCCCGTGGGTCTGCAAGAGTCGGGTCCTGAGGCGGCTCTGTGAGCTGGGTGGCGGGGGCCTGGCCTCTGCGCTGTGGGGCGGGCGCTCACCTCTCCAGGCCCTGTGCCCCTGGGAGCGGAGCCGCGGAGTTTGCCATAGCCGGGGCCTGTTTGCGGGGCCACGACGGTCTTGCTTTTGCTTTGAATCCAGGATGCGCTCTGAGGGTTCTCTTCAGTAGTGGCCAGAGCTGGCCAGCTGAGAGAGTGGACTTGGGTGTGCGGCAGGAGGTCAGCCTGGTCATTGGTACTGGTCATGGTGGCTGGGGTTGGACTCAAACCCTGCTTCCCAACAGTGACTTGGTTTGTGATCTGCGCGGTGGGGCTGGGTTGTCCCCCCAGAGCAGAGACACCTTGTCCGGCTGGTCAGCATTTTGCACTGGCTCCTGGTCATACGGGGCCTCCATTGGGCCACCTGCAAGGGGGCTCTGGTGGTGCTGCGAGCCTTGGGCCCGGGGTGGGCCCTGGAACCCCATGCACTGAACTCGCTCTGTGTGGGCCGCAGGGGTGTTTATTTCTCGGCTAATACATGGGGGTGCTTGAACCCTTTGAATAGAAACTAGCGCACGCTGGTAATAGATCCAGGACTTCCAGCGCTCAGGTAAAAGTCGAGTTTGCGCCATCTGCCCCCTCTCCTCAGGTGGGCACGGCGGCCTTCCCCGTCTACATGCCGACCCCATTTACAGGATGGCACTGGTGCCTGGCAGGGCGGTCAGCAAGTGGGGGCGGCCAGCGGGGAGGGCAGGGGAGGAGGCGCCTCCAGGGAGCCCCGGCCCGGGAGTGAAGTCCCCCAGGAGAGTCTGGTTTGCTCTTTCCTCCTTGCCGCGGTGCCCGGTGCCCCTGGGCTCGGCCCCCAGGTGCCACAGGGAGGAGGAGCCCGACGAGGCGTTGCTGAGTTCCCTGCGGTGCTGCGCCGCTCGGCCCAGGGTCACTCTGTCCTGGGGACACAGCCAAGTCCTCACCTGCCGCACCCTCTGGCTGCCTGTGACCATCTGAAACTCCTGCCAAAGCCAGCACGTGTGAACACACTTCGGGCGCCGTGGCGGCAGCCGCAGCCGCCCGTGTGGCATGAGCTAGGGGACAGGTGCCGGGCAGGGCTGCCGGGCACCACCTGCTCCGCGTTCTGAAAGAGCCTTTGTGCAGTCCGCTGCTGCGGCGCCCCAGGGCGGCTCACACATGTTCTGGAGCGGGCCGGTGCGCGGGCCTGCCCGAGCCTGACGTGAGGGCGGCGGGCGGCCGTCTGCTCGGGCCCGGGGCTGGGAGGGATGCCAGGGATGCCTGGTCTGTGCGCTCCTTTTCTTCAGCCTCCCCTACCCCAGCTGTCTAGGAGCATAAGCGCCACTCTGGACTTGGGCTGGACGGAGGGCAGAGGGCTGGAGTTTGGGCTGTGGAGCTGAATCCACAGGCCTGGCCTAGAGAACTGAGCACACCGGTGCGCGCACAGAAGCCCCGCGAGCCCAACCGCGGGCACCGGGCTGCCCTGGGGCAGAAAGCGTGAGGCCAGGCAAGCGGCCCTGGAGCCCGCCAGGGCCAGGCGTGGGCAGAGCCTCCCGGGGCCCCCAGGCCTCTGCCGCGGGGACGCCGAGCCGGTGGTGCCGCTCAGCCTTGGCCTTTAGACCAGCATTACTTTTCATTTATTTTTGAAAATTATCTCATTTTTTTTAACCTGTATTTTTTTTTTTTTTAAAGATTTATTTATTTGTACATACAGAACTGGGGTACAGGCCAGAGGCTCAGGGGCGGTGAGAGGATTCACCAGAGACAGAGTGGGGAGCAGAACAGGCAGATCGACGAAGTACACTGCTGAGGGGAGCAGCGGGCCGTCAGGAGAGGTCTGCCACGCCATGTGGTCTCCTCCGGGGCAGGCGGGGATCGAACTCATGAGGAAGTGGCTTTAGTTTCTCAGTGCTGTGCTTTAACCCGCTGCGCCACCAGGGAGGGCCAACCTGTATTTTTTTTTAAAGGTTTATTTATACATACAGAATTGGGGTACAGGCCAGAGGAGCTGGTGGTGGTGAGAGGATCCCCAGAGACAGAGCGGGGAGCAGCAGGCAGACAGGAGAGGTGCCCCACACCCCGGGGGTCCCTCCCGGCCGTGGCCGTGGCAGCTTCCCAGTGCTGCACGTTAACCTGCTGCCCCACAGGGGTCTCAGACCAGCTTTAGATCGAGAGAAAGGCTGGAGGCCGGCCAGTGTCCTCGTCACCCAGTGTCCTGCGAACCTCTGCAGCGTGGACCGTGCTCGCAAGCCGGTGCCGTGCATTGCTCGATTCCTCCGTTTCTCAGATGTTGCTGCTCTGCCTGGGCAGCGGCGGGGATCGCTGTACAATGTTCTGCCCACGGTTGGGGTGAATGCGTCCGGCTGGGGTGGCGGGATGGATAATCTTTTGGTGGAATCTTTTAAAAGTACAAATTTACACACACAAAACCCACAGGGGCGGAAAAATCAAGTGTCCGAGCAGTGTCAGGACAGGGTGTCCTTTCTGCCTTGTCCAGCGTGGCCAGCCCTGGCTTAGGTCCCTGGTGGGTTGTTGAGACGGGACCTTTGTTGCGGCTTTGCAGCGGGAACGCAGAGGGACACAGCTGTCGTGGAGCGGGTTTGCGAGGCTCT